CCCCCCCGCCACCTAGAATTCATGTCCCCCCTGGGACCTCAGAATGTGATCTTATTTGGAAGTCAGGCCTTTGCAGATTTAAGATGAGGTCATGCTGGGGTAGGATGGGCCCCAAATCCGATGGCCGCGCCGGGGAAAAGACTGATTCAGAGTCCTGCTCAAAGGCCACCTCCCTGGGCCACCTCCTTCCCCCGCTGGGCCCCATGGCGCTCTGTCTACCGTATTCCTGTCACATATCAGAGCAGTATGGCGATTCACTCGTGGGTCAGTGTGATGGTTAATTTTATGTGTGAACTTGACTGGGCCACAGGTGCCCAGATATTTGGTTAAACATTATTCTGGACAATGTTTTCCAGGGTGTTTCTGGGTAAAATTAACATTTGAAACAGTGGCCTGAGTAAAGGTAATTTCCCTCCCCTCTGTGGGTGGGTCTCATCCAATCCACTGAAGGGCTAGAGAGAAAACTTGAGTGAGAGAGAATCCTCTCTCTCTGCCTGTCTTCCAGCTGGGACATCAGTCTTCTGCCTTCAAGCTCAGACCTGAGCTGGAGATACCCCATCAGCTGTCCTGGGTCTCCAGCCTGCTGACCCCAGACCTTGGGACTTCCGGTCTCCATTCCTATATAAGCCGATTCCTTATAATAAATCTGTTTGGTGCCCATTGGTTCTGTTTCTTGGAAGAACCCAGACTAATACAGTCAGCCTCTCCTGGGGGTTCAAGAAGGGCAGGAGTGGGATGAGGAGATGCACCTCCTTTCTGGACCCTACTCCCAACCAGCACAGCACTGGGCTGTATAGAACAGAGTGAAGAGACGGAGGGACTAATAAAGGAATGGTACGAACTTGCACCGGGAACATATGTTAAAGAGAGGCATCCAAATGTCATGCTATTTGCTACTTTTAATTTCTTTTAATTTCTTAAATGGTTCACCCCACTCCTTAACCAAGCCCCAACCAGCAAAGACAATTTTCTTTCTTGTTATTGTGGAAAAATACACATAACGCAGCATGTACCATTTTAACCACTTTTAAAGGTACGATTCGGCGGTATCGAGTATATTCACCATGCTGTGCAGCCATCACCCCCATCTAGCTCCAGAACTTTCCCATCACCCCACATGGAGACCCCAGATCCATTGGCAGTTACTACTTCCCAAGAGCCAAAGCGAGAGCTTCCATGAAATCCGCCCCGGGCTCTTAATTACGGCGGCACCAAAACCCGCTTGGCCGAGTCAACTCTCACACTGCCTTCAGGGAGGCGGGGTCTGTGGGCAGACGCTCACCTTCAGCGCTTCGTAGAGGTCATAAATGGTCCTCAGGTTGTTCATCTCCTTCTGCACTTTGAGCAGCTCTGGGTACATTGTAATCGGAAGATCAAAAAGTTTCTCAGCGTTAGCCAACTCCTGGCGGTTCTTTTCATGTCTCGTGAGCTCCTTTTCAAAAATGGCTAAAAGTTCTACTCCTGGCAAATAAGTAAATAAATAGAAGCCATCCAGGAAGACACATTTAGAATTACCACAGCTTTATCTCTCTTTCTAACGGAAACCAGACGGCCAGGTCCATATGCAAAACTCTCCAGTTAGAAAATTCGGTCTCCTGGGGTGCCTGGGTGGTTCGGTCGGTTAAGCGTCTGACTTGGGCTCAGGTCATGATCTCACAGTCCATGCATTTGCACCCCACATCGGGCTCTGTGCTGACGGCTCAGACCCCGGAGCCTGCTTGGGATTCTGTGTCTCCCTTTCTCTCCGCCCCTCACCCACGCACGCTCTCTCCCTCTCTCTTTCTGTCTCTCTCTTTCTCAAAAATAAATAAACATTAAAAACAAATTTTTTTAAGAGAAAATTTTGCCTCCTTCACGTTATCCCTCTAAGTGGCTCAACTTGGGCTGCACATTAGATTCCCATGAGAGTTTTAAAAGTCTTGGCATCTGGATCACACCCCCCCCCCCCCAGAACAAGAGAATTAGACTATTTGGATCTGGACGCCAGGAGTCACTGGGTTTGTCAGGATCCTCAGGTGAACCCAGTGTACAGGCAAGGTTAAGAACCACTGCTCCATTCCATAGTCCCATAACATCCTTAAGCAAAACATACTCCACTACCTCAGGAAGCCCGGCGTGAATGTTCTTACCTTTATCAAGATCATCACCAATAGAACCAGGGCCTTCACGATAAAAACGCTTTGCAAATTCCTCTATCTGCTGTTTGTAGTTTAATATTTCACCTCGAGTAATCTGCAAAGGGCACGGTTGCATTAATTTATCCCAACGGGCATTTGTCCATATCTTTACTCAGAAAGTAAAAAACGTAAAAGGTACCTCTGTGAACGTTCTCTTTATGCCCCCAAGAGAATGATCCACATTCACGGACTCATTGAACAGATTTGACCACATGCTTTTAATATTGTCAACCAGTTCTTTCTCTGCATCAGGAGGCTGACAAAGAAACAGGACAAACAATAAATGGCCAGAAATTTGGAATTGAAATTCCGGTCAAAGCTACTGCCTGGGGATTTCCACTTGTGACAACAGCAGGCTCGGTCATTTGAATCCACAAAAAAACTACTTGAATTAGAAAGATTATATATTTGAGGCACCTGGGTGGCTCAGTCGGTTGAGCACCCGACTTCAGCTCAGGTCATGATCTCACGGTTCGTGAGTTCAAGCCCCGCGTCGGGCTCGCTGCTGTCAGCCTGTCAGCGCAGAGCCCGCTTCAGGTCCTCTGTCCACCTCTCTCTGCCCCTCCCTCGCTTGTGCTCTCCCAAAAATAAATATTTTTTAAAAGAAATAAAAACTATATATTTATGATGAAAACAAAATCAGGATAAAATCATTTTTAAAAATAAGCAGGTAACACAGATAGAAAGAGAGATACTGTAGACAGATAAGCCCTTCATAAACTAGGACCCAGTTTCAGCTCAACTTAATCCCTAATTAAAATAAGGTTATCTTAGCTTGCTGATGCATCTAGCTGTGCTGTCTATCAGAAGCAAAAAGAAATCTCCCCTGATGAAATATAACATCTGGAGCCTCCAACTCTCTCTACAAATTTGTCATGTACAATGTCCAGAACTCAATCAGAAATAACAGATAGGTAAGGATCAAAATGACTCGAAGGAAACCAAGAGATACACAGACAATATAAGCAGACCCTAATAGAGTTTCAAATAATTTTACTTAATAAAGGAAACAAAAGGGGCGCCTGGGTGGCTCAGTCGGTTAAGCGACCGACTTCGGCCCAGGTCATGATCTCACGGCTGGTGAGTTTGAGCCCCGCGTCAGGCTCTGTGCCAACAGCTCGGTCTGGAGCCCGCTTCGGATTCTGTGTCTCCCTCTCTCTCTGCCCCTCCCTCGCTCATGCCCTGTCTCTGTCTCAAAAATAAATAAAAACATTTAAAAACAATTTTTTAATAAAAAAGTAAAAAACTAAAGGAAACAGACAAAATTGGGAACTTTTATTTTAACTCTAAAAGTGTACATTTTGCATACTGTGCAATCTTATGACGAGAGGGTCTCTAGCTTTCAGGGTGACTGCTCAGTGAAGGTGTTCAGAGCAGTCAAGGAACATAAAGGCTGCAATACAAGTCTGATGCAAGTGCAGACTTACGACAGCTATTTGCTTCTTCTAGTTTGTTTCTCCAGCTGATTCTTTCGGCGTGAATGTGAGGCACAGTATGCAAAATTTTGTATACAGTTTCAGGGAGAGGCCAGGCCCCCTCAAACTCCTCCAGGGACTTCTAAAGTTCCTTTGAGCCACCCTGAACAACTGTAATAAAGGCAACTGAATTATTACCACTACCCATCTCTTTTATCATCTTAATCCTCTCTGACTCTCCTCCCTCCCGCTCATTTTGTAAAAGCCCTTTATTAAAGGAAATTAACACCAGAAACAGGGGGAGGGGAGGGGGAGAATTGACATGATCTCCAAAGAAAAATACAGCCTGAGCCATACCAGATCAAGAAATAACCTGTTTTCATTATTCTGAATAACTGTGGGGTTGCTCTACATTTAAATTTTATTACTTAAAGTCATCGTTGAGAAGTATTTCTGAAAAGGGTCTTAGAATTCAACCCAACTGTAAAAATGCTTACGAAAATCCATGGGGCGCCTGGGTGGCTCAGTCAGTTAAGCGTCTGACTTCGGCTCAGGTCATGATCTCACCACTCGTGGGTTCGGGCCCAGCGTCAGGCTCTCTGCTTTCAGCACGGAACCCGCTTCCAATCCTCTCTCTCTGCCCCTCTCATGCATGTTCTCTCTCTTTCTCTCTCTCTCTCTCAGATAAATACACATGAAAAAAATCCTTTTAAAGAAAGGAAACTGTTCACTCACAAAGAGATTATACATTGCCATGGTGCGGTATCGCTCCTGGACATCCCTGTATCTCAGTTCCATGACCAAAGATTTACTTCTAATTTCTGCAATCGTTGCAAGGACAAACTTGAGGTCTTCAAGGGTACTGGGGCTCTTCTTCAGGTTTTTGGCCAGGCTCTGCAAAAGAGAGGCCAAAGGACACCAAATAAACCTAGAAAACACAGTCCCCAACGGAGACGCGATTTTCACGAGAAGTAGTGTAATTAAACCCAGCGATACCTCCATCTCTTCATGGAGGTGATAGAGTTCCTCCCTGGCTGACTCATTGAGAAGCTTTCCAAGCGAGGTCACCCAGGACCTGGCGTTTTCCTGCACCGTGTTCGCCAGAGGCCCCAGCCGCAGCCTGATGCAATGCTCGTCCTTAACTAAGGGGTGGCGCATGACTTCTTGGGCAATCTTGGAATAGAACTGCAACTTTTCATCATAGGACACACAAGGAGGTTTCCTGGAGGCGAACTTCTCCATCACGATGGCTTTGTCCAGCTTCCAGAGAGGTCGATACCTCTTCCATTTCTGGAGGTACTTCATAAGACTGATCAGAATCCTGTGGACGTTTTGGGGGATCATGACAGCTTGTTCAATTATCTGAGGGTTCAGGGAGACATCATCGTAAAAGCTTATTACAACGAGTTCTTCTTCCTCCCCCTTCTGAGGAGGGCATTCTATACAGCTGCCATTCATCCATCGGACAAAATGCTAGTGAAAGAAGAACCAGGGAAAAGGACAGCACTTCAGCATTTATTCCGCTTCCTATGCATAAAGTCACGTGACTTCGGGAGAAAGTCTCGCCAGTAACAGAACCTCGTCCAAAAAAGCTGATTTTTGTTAAGGAAGTACATTTCTGACATTTTATGAAAGGACAGGTAAAAATTATTTTTTATTTGAAAGAAAGCATTTATGAACATAAAATAATGCAGGCTTCACCAGGAGCCTCAAATCCATCCAGTGAGGGGGGTGTTAAATTGGTATAAAATGTTGTGAATAATACCCAGAATGTTGGGTCGCCCGGGGGGCTCAGTCGGTTAACCGTCCGACTTAGTCTCAGGTCATGATCTCACGGTCCCCACATCGAGCCCCCCACGGTGAGTTCGAGCCCCACATCGGGCTCTGTGCTGACAGCTCGGTGCCTGAAGCCTGCTTCGGATTCTGTGTCTCCCTCTCTCTCTGCCCCTCCCCCGGTCGTGCTCTGTCTCTCTCTCAAAAATAAACAAACATTAAAAAAATTTTTTTAATGAAATAAAATTTAAAAATACCCAGAATGTTTCACAGAGAGTCTTTCCTATTTATTTACTCCTTGGAAATTGTTTGTTTCCCTCTTCAAAGACGCAGTTATATAAAGCTATAACGTAAGAGAATTTACATAACTGAGGTTTAATAAACAACTTTACTTGCACAGATTATAAAATATATGCAATTTATTAATTTCCAAGTACAGTTAAATTAACTTCCCTATCTATATCTATACTCATTTTTATGCTTTAAAAAATGCCTGAAACATATTTGACTTTCTGAACAAACCAACTAAGAAAATGTTAGTGTCTTGAGGGGATGTGACCTCCCTTATCCATAAAAATGGCCCCATTTTCCCATTGTTGGTGAGACACAAACTATGGGTTATTGGCCAACAGACACTCCTTTGACCCCATTTGCATAGTTGAGAGCCAGCTATGTGCCAGATGCTGTTGGAGGTGCTGGGGATTCAAAGGTGGACAGACACACAAGGTCCATGTTCCCATGCACCTTGCATTCTAGTGGCACAAGAGAGTCATGGATAGGTGAGCGAGGAAATAAGAAAAGGTCAGGTAGCGGTAGGTGATGGGAAGAAGATGGAACGGGTGATAGGATAGAGAACAACGAGGAGGAGCCATCAGGGAAAAGTCTGGGGGCAGAAATTTCCAGGCAGAGGGAAGAGTTCACGGAACCATTTCGAGGAGGAGCAAGTGCTGCTGCCGGAGGCCGGTGGGGCTGAGCGCGGGGGAGCACGAGATGCAGCAAGTGAGCTCAGGAAGGCAGGCAGGTGCCAGACTGCGAGCACAGTGAGGAGTTCGGCTTATGTCCGAATGCAACGTAAAGTCGTCGGGGGGTTTGCACAAGAGATCTGACGTGAAGTGATTCATATTTTAAAAAGAGAATTCTGACCGCCCCCCCCCC